ATCTTTCTTCTATCATTGACAGTCCCTCTAGGTTGTGGGCTGCTTGCCTGTGTTCCTGAGAAGCATCTACGGTACCAGTCTATAGAGTGTGTTTTCTTTAGTGAATTACCGGTATGTTTACCGGTAATAAACTTGCACTGTTTTATGTATATGTTTGATTACATACAGCCTTGTGACAGTTTTCCTGCATGTCATAAGCATTTGAATATAAATTAAAATGTTAAAATCAAATCTGATATTGTTTTACCTTTTATTTGGTGTGTGGAAGGTGTGCGGAAGAGGGGGTAGTCTTATACGGCGAGTATATAACAAACTCTGTATTTTGAGTGGAAATGTTAGGGGGTCGTCTTATACGCCCAGTCGTCTTATACGCCGGCAAATACGGTATATGCATTTGGGTGGACACAGTTCAGCCGTAACAGCCACTTGACTGGTTTGGAATTTTGACCAATTCACTTAGCCTGTCTACGCCTCCGTTTCACTGCTTTAAATAGGGGCAAATGTAGTCATTAGGTCATGGCGTTGTGAGCATTTCATTGTGAGATAATACATGCGAAGCTGTCAGAATTGTCTAACATACAATAGTACTCAGTAAGTTGAACATAGGCTTCACCTGTAAATTCGTGGTCGTAGCGCTTCACTCTGGGGTAAATAATGGAGTGAGGAAGTTGGCACTTACTACTAATGCAGTGGGAATAAAAGTAATAATCGCAGAAATGATCACGGCTGTCCACTACTGTGCCAGACACTAACTGTTTTATGTGTGTTCATTCATTTACTCATCATAGCCACCCCAGTGGTGGGTCATTTTCACATGCCTGTTTGGCCAGTGGAGAGGCTGGTGAACTGAGATTAGAACTCGGGCTCTCACCACTGTGTTGTATTGTCCTGGTTAGAAAGGATGTGGCCCTGGGAGGATTTTCAGTCTACAGGCAGACCCAGGGAGCCGTTGGCTGACTTCTCTTTTTCTTGGCCCAGGTGTACAGCAGTGGCAGCATCCATGGCAGGTCCCCTGAGGCGGGCCGCGGCATTCGTGCAGAGACATAGGACAGGCCTATTGGTGGGTTCCTGTGCAGGCCTGTTTGGGGCCCAGATCTTGTACCACCTCTTCCCAGATCCTGTGGTTCGATGGCTATACCAGTACTGGCCTCAGGGCCAGCCAGCCCTGCTCTCCCCAAAGCTTCAGAGACTCTTCCAAGAGGTGCTACAGGACGTTGGCGTCCCATCAGGCCATTGCTACAAGGCCTTCACCACTTTCACCTTCCAGCCGGTGAGTGCTGGCTTCCCAAGACTCCCTGCTGGGGCCGTGGTGGGCATCCCCGCCAGCTTCCTGGGTGACACATTGACCAACACTGACCGCCCTGTGATTGTACATGGGCAAAGAGTGGACTGGAAAAGCCCAGAAGGTACCCGGCTGAGAGATGCCCTGACCCTGTCCCATGATGCCCAGAAGTTTGCCTTGGCCAGGGAGGTGGTGTACCTGGAGAGCGGTACAGCTGCCCTGCAGGCGCTGCCAGCCCCAGCTTGCCTGGCAGGAACTTGGACACTGAGCATGAGTGCCAAGTATGCCCTGGGGCTCTATGGAGGCCCCATGAATTTAAGAGTTGCTTTCAACCTGGTGGCAGCAGTGGTAGGCTTTGTGGCTTACGCCTTCTCCACAGACTCTCTCACCCATGCCCTGGAAGCCTGGCTGGACCGCCGCACAGCTTCCATGTCTGCAGCCTATGCCCAGGGTGGAGCGGAGTTCTATGAGAAGGTTCTGTCTGGCAACCTGGCCCTGCGCAGTCTCTTGGGTCCACCCGGAGAGAAGCTGTATACGCCCAGTGGGAACATCATTCCCAGAAGTTGGTTCCGCATCAAACATTTACCCTACACG